TTCCTTTCTTGTCAGAAAGTTGGTGAAAAATAATGAAAACAGGTAAATGGTCGCTTATATCATTAAGGAGTATTCCTGCTGTTATCTGGGTCTCGATTTGATTTGTGAAAATGTTGTCTATTAGCGTGGCTGAGCTGGTTGTTATTCTGGTTGGCTTTGTAATGAGAGGGAATAAACTGTTACTGTACATTCTTGTTGTAAAATCAGTGATGTTTGAGTCGTCTAAGGGGTTTAGAAGATTGATATTAAAATCACCACACACAATTTGGAGCTTTTTTGTCTTACAAAATAGATTATCTACACTTTGATTGAATGTGTCTAAACATGACCCAGGCGTTCTATACAAGCAGCTGACATTTATCTTCCGGGATTTTTTAACCTCGATTTCAACCGTTAAGCATTCCAAGACTCCGTCTATGGTGGTAGATCTACTATCAATCTTTTTACAGTTTAAATCCCTATTTACAAAGAGTGCTGCCTCCTCTTTTCCCAACCCGGTGTGTAGTAAATAATGTGTAACCATCCAATTTGATTTCACAACTCTTTTCGTCATCAAGCCACGTTTCTGATATTGCAATGACGCTGAATTTTTTGAACTGATCCAGATATTGTCTGATGTTTTCATAGTTTTTAAACAAACTTCTGCTGTTGATATGAATTATTGTAAACGCTCTTTCCATTTTCACACATTTGAAAGTTTTGTCTGTGTAATACTTGCAGTTACTGCTTATATTGTTATAAAGGTTATTATATCTATGGATCTATATCACAATTAAACTGATCAGGATTATCATTATTTGTACTTGTATTTTCAAATTCGATATCATTGAGACTAGTAAATATGTTTTTAAATTCATTTTCATAAACCATTGTTTTTGTCCATCCATCCATCCATTTTCTTCCGCTTTATCCGTTGCCGGGTCGCGGGGGCAGCAGTCTAAGCAGAGACGCCCAGACTTCCCTATCCACACACACTTCCTCCAGCTCGTCCGGGGGGACCCCAAGGCGTTCCCAGGCCAGCTGCGAGACATAGTCCCTCCAGCGTGTCCTAGGTCTTCCGCGGGGCCTCCTCCCGGTGGGACGTGCCCGGAACACCTCCCCAGGGAGGCGTCCAGGAGGCATCCGGAACAGATGCCCGAGCCACCTCAACTGGTTCCTCTCGACGTGGAGAAGCAGCGGCTCTACTCCGAGCTCCTCCCGTGTGACTGAGCTCCTCACCCTATCTCTAAGGGAGCGCCCAGCCACTCTGCGGAGGAAGCTCATTTCGACCGCTTGTATCCGCGATCTCGTTCTTTCGGTCATTACCCAAAGCTCATGACCATAGGTGAGGGAGGGAACGAAGATTGACCGGTAAATCGAGAGCTTTGCCTTTCGGCTCAGCTCCCTCTTTACCACAACGGTCCGATACAGCGACCGCATCACTGCGCACGCTGCACCGATCCGCCTGTCAATCTCACGCTCCATTCTTCCCTCACTCGTGAACAAGACCCCGAGATACTTGAACTCCTCCACTTGAGGAAGGACCTCTCCACCCACCTGAAGAGGGCAGGGCACCTTTTTCCGGTCGAGCACCATGGCCTCAGATTTGGAGGTGCTGATTCTCATCCCAGCCGCTTCACACTCGGCTGCAAACCGTCCCAGTGCATGCTGCAGGTCCTGGTTCGTTGGAGCCAACAGGACAACATCGTCCGCAAACAGCAGAGATGAGATCCTGTGGTCCCCGAACCGGACCCCCTCCGACCCCTGGCTGCGCCTAGATATTCTGTCCATAAATACAGTGAACAGAACCGGTGACAAAGGGCAGCCCTGTCGGAGGCCAACATTTACCGGGAACAGGTCTGACTTACTGCCGGCAATGCGAACACAGCTCTGGCTCTGGTCATACAGGGACCGGATGGCCCTCAGCAGAGGACCCCCGACCCCGTACTCCCGGAGAACCCCCCAAAGGACACCCCGGGGAACACAGTCGAACGCCTTCTCCAAATCCACAAAGCACATGTGGACAGGTTGGGCGAACTCCCATGAACCCTCGAGTATCCGATGGAGAGTATAGAGCTGGTCCAGTGTTCCGCGACCGGGACGAAAACCACACTGCTCCTCCTGGATCCGAGATTCGACCATCGGCCGTAGCCTCCTCTCCAGTACCTTGGAGTAGACCTTACCGGGGAGGCTGAGGAGTGTGATCCCACGATAATTGGAACACACCCTCCGGTCCCCCTTCTTGTAGAGAGGGACCACCACCCCGGTCTGCCACTCCATTGGCACCGCCCCCGATCGCCACGCGATGTTGCAGAGACGTGTCAACCAAGACAGTCCTACAACATCCAGAGACTTTAGATAATCAGGGCGGATCTCATCCACACCCGGAGCCTTGCCACCATGGAGGCTACCAACCACCTTGGTGACCTCAGCCAGGGAGATGGATGTATCCGCCCCAACATCCTCAGCCTCTGCCTCTGTAACAGAGGACGTGACGGGGGGATTGAGGAGAACCTCAAAGTATTCCTTCCACCGTCCGACAATATCCCCCGTCGAGGTCAGCAGCTCTCCACCCGCACCGTACATGGTGTTGGCAAAGAACTGCTTCCCCCTCCTGAGGCGCCGGACGGTTTGCCAGAATTTCTTTGAGGCCGACCGATAGTCATGCTCCATGGACTCTCCGAACTCCTCCCAGTCCCGGGTTTTTGCCTCTGCAACAGCAGAGGCCGCGGCACGCTTGGCCTGCCGGTACTGGACAGCTGCCTCAGGAGTCCCCCGAACCATCATGGCTCGATAGGACTCCTTCTTCAGCCTGACAGCATCCCTTACTGCCGGTGTCCACCACCGGGTTCGGGGGTTGCCGCCGGGACCAGCACCAGAGACCTTGCGACCACAGCTACGAGTCGCCGCATCGGCGATTGAGGCAGAGAACATGGTCCACTCGGACTCCATGTCCCCCTCCTCCACCGGGACCTGGGAGAAACTCTCCCGGAGGTGTGAGTTGAAAGTCCGTCTGACAGGGGGCTCAGCGAGACGTTCCCAGCTGACCCTCACTATACGCTTGGGTCTGCCAGGTCTGACCGGCTTCTTCCCCTGCCAGCGGATCCAACTCACGACCAGGTGATGATCGGTTGACAGCTCCGCCCCTCTCTTTACCCGAGTGTCCGAGACACGCGGTCAAAGGTCAGATGATACGACAACAAAGTCGATCATCGACCTCCGGCCTAGGGTGTCCTGGTGCCACGTGCACTGGTGGACACCCTTGTGCTCGAACATGGTGTTCGTGATGGACAAACCGTGACTGGCACAGAAGTCCAACAACTGAGCACCGCTCGGGTTCAGATCAGGGGGGCCGTTCTTCCCGATCACCCCTCTCCAAGTGTCACTGGCGTTTCCCACATGGGCGTTGAAGTCCCCCAGGAGAATAACGGAGTCCCCGGGCGGTGCACCGTCCAGTACCCCTCCCAAGGACTCCAAGAAGGCCGGGTACTCTGCACTGCACTACTCACACATTGTTCTCATAGATTACAGTCATAATGTTGATTTAGAAAAAGAAATCCCATGTGGAATTATTGCTGTACGTGATCGCTATCACAAACCAGGAAAAGGACGTTTGGGTTGTATGACATTATTGTATGCAATAATGTGACTAATAATGAATAAGAAACTGACAGGACGAATGTTTGGTGAGGTTGTCACTGAAAGATGACAGCAGACGGTCAAACACGTGTTGTATTTGTAGAGTGGGCTAGATCCCCCTGCGTGTCCGCGTACGCGCACCCCGCTACATCTGTCTCCAATGCACTGTTACGCAATATCATTGTCAATAGAATGGTACCCCCTCTGTTACCTGTGCCTTGTACCCACAGACACAAACGCGCACACACACATAGATCGTACGCTTGGACGTGGTTTGGTATGTGGTGCAGCGAGAGATTAACCTGCTGACGCGCCTCCAGATCCTCTTTCAGAGACGTCTCCGCAGCATTTATCTTGCACTGTGCTGCGGACAAATGTTATACGCGTTGCTCGGTCACTATTTCATGTCACAGTTGCTCCTTTGTCTGGAGTATAACTTGACTAACATCAACATTTCTAATGACTATAATCAATGACAACAGCATCCCACAACACTGACCTGAGCAGCTGCAAGGTGTGCAAGTTAACCTAGCTAACCCGGCACAAATTACATAAAACACAAAAAACAAACAGGCAATGAAATACATATAAAACAACATCACACAAGGGACTCTTAATAACCACAGTGCATTAAAAAAAAAAAAAGGAGATACTCCGCACACACAACCATCATAACTTGCATTTGAACATCTCACATATTCAGGGACATGTCACAGATGAACCCTGGTGCGGGGCCGTGTTGAATCAGGCCTCCAACTCCAGGAATCCAAGTCCAAGAGCTGGGAGCTAAGTGAGCCCATAATCTGAAGTTACTACTTTGAAATAAATGGTTCTCATGCATGTTCTGGGTTGTTTCTTGATAATCCAACCTGTTATGTGCACATTGACAAGTTTGTACATTTAGGAATACACACAAAAGGATTTGAAGAATGTATCCAAGGCGTCCCTCTAGCTTGCAGTACTCAACACCAAGTCAACCCTTGCGATGCTCAACCAATCCATCACAATCACATTAAAGTGCCTTCATTTAACGTACGCAAAAAACGAACGAATGCTTGCATGGTGACATCTTTATTTACAAAATTAACAGATACAGTGCCTCAATTGAAGGGAACCCCATACATGCGGTGTGGTACCACCAACCCCATAGACCACATGCAATCTGCAAAGATGGATGTTAGTGTCAGTAAACATGAATGCCATCATAAACAACTTACCCAGGGATCACTATCATCCTCCTGACTCCTGTCCTTCCTCCCTGTGCAGCGGAACCCGCAATTGAAATAATATTCCAATAACTTTTTAGATTTCATAAAAACTTTGTCAAGCTTACAGTTTGTCAATTAACTTTGTTGTACCAGTGTTGGAGCAGGGTTCGCAATTTACGGATGCTGCAGCGAGTTCCCGGCTGGAACTCCACCTCCTCCCCTGAAGGATCTGCTCAGCCAGCTGTGAAAAAGGTAAGTTGTCATGGGTGGACTGCATTGAAAATGTCAATACATACCTTGCAAACAAATACCCCACATGAGGTGCCATCACTGTTGGGGGTGGTCTATGGTGGAACACCGCCAGGCGCTGAGGTCTAGCGAAGACATGTACATTTGCACCAGCTCCCTGCAAACAGATTCACTCACAAAGGACACAGTGGGATTGAAGTTTCAGAAACTCTTACAAACCTGGTTACACTGCGGCACTTCACCTCCCCCGGACTGGCACCAAATGGATTGAGGTACAGCACCTTCTCCTTCACATACAGTACATGATCTGCAGGAGGACGGGAGAGTGTATTTTACGATACAATAAATTAGGACCATGAGAATTATGACTGAGGGATACTATAGCTAGAAACTCAGCTTGTGCCTATAATTAACCTTACCACGAGTGTTCATTGGTAGTCTGAGCAGACTGCACCAAATAGTGCCCAGATCGAGGGAGATTATCAGGGGTCTTGTATGTGTTCCATTTTCTGATAATTGCTTCCACAGTTGCTTTGTTTTCACACCAAGCTGCGTGCCTATTGTAGATTCACTCTTCCCAGTCTGGTACAGGTCTACAATTCTTTTCCTGGTGTCCTTCAACAGCTCTTTGGTCTTGGCCATAGTGGAGTTTGGAGTCTGACTGTTTGAGGCTGTGGACAGGTGTCTTTTATACAGATAACGTGTTCAAACAGGTGCCATTAATACAGGTAACGAGTGGAGGACAGAAGAGCTTCTTAACGAAGTTACAGGTCCGTGAGAGCCAGAGATCTTCCTTGTTTGAAGTGACCAAAGTTAAAAATCCTACAATGTGAATTCCTGGATTTTTTTTTTTCACATTCTGTCTCTCACAGTTTAAGTGTACCTATGATGAAAATTACAGACCATTGCTTTGCACGTGGTGAATTCACCAGCTGCAAAGCCCATCGTTTGAGGACATTAATCCAGTCGTACACAATAGGAGCGCCAAGATTCATGAAATCACTTGTGAAGAGCCGAAATGGCCCAATTCGGCTCTACAGTGTATGCCCTGGGCTCACCCCTGCTGCAATCAGCTGTAGAATTGGAAACCAGCAAAAGTGACAAGTTTGAAGGAATTGTGAAATGTATGCTTTACTTACAGCTCTCCACAGCCTCGGGAGTGGGTGCCCTCAAGTCTGGAGCCTCGCAGTCCAGTGGAGGTGGAGTACCCAGGTCCAGCTTTTGGGGAAAGCTGAGGTCCAGCGGAGGTAGAGTGCTCAGGTTGAGAGAAGGTGGGGGGACCACTTCTCTTACATCCCCCTTAAGATTAGCTGGTATCCTGGAGCAAGGAACAATGTAGGGCGTCATGTAATCATTGCTGATGCATTTCTTTACGGTGCCATCAGGGGCCTTCAGGCTGACAGTCTTCCCATCCAAGTTGAAGATGCGGAAAGGCCCCAGCATGTCCCTCTCCAGTTGCCTTTTCGCTGCTCTTGTCTTATGCTTTTCAACAACACAAAGTCCCTTAAATGGAATTTGTCATCTTTGCCAGTTTATTCCCTCTTCTGCCGGTGCTTTTGCCGACTCTTCCTGTTTCCTAAAGCTTTCTGCTTGACCCCTAGGTTCGGCAGGCCAGGCCACAGCTCCTCTGTCTCTGCCAAGGCGATCACACGGCTCTCCACCTGTTTGATACAAAAGCAAATAAACAGTAGGGAAAAAAAAGTACATACAATATGGGCAACAGTGACTTTACCTCATACTCCTTTGGAATTCCAGATGGCCTCCCTCCCAAATAAAAGATAAGGAATATGCTGTGTGGTCAGCTGCATTTTGGTCCTTAAACATGGTTGCCTGCATGTATTCGGATGGCACCTCAGTACAAAACAGAAATGCGTTATTATTCTCATCATGAATTCATGTTAATCACATGAAACATGAAAGTACAAGAAACATGAAGAAGAATGAAGTGCAACGCATTAAGGCACTGATACAACATACAAAGATTTCTCACCTTTGAATCGTCCTGTTACGAGTCAGACTAAGAATCCAAATGCAAGGGTGACAAAAAGTTTAATGAACAAAAATAAGAAGACTCAAAATACAGGCGAGCCGGGACAGGTGCGGGGATCAGGCGGTGCTGGGCTGGGATCAGGAGGTGCGGAACGGATGTCTGAGGTAGAACAAAAAAAGATAAGTACAAGGGTAACAAGAGCGATTACAAAAAGGTCCACGAAACATATTGTACCACAGATTACGAACTGGTACCGACGAGCTGACTTCTGGAGCTCTTGAAGAGGCCTGATTGCAGACTGGAGTCAGCTGGGCCTGATCAGTCTCTCCCATACACCTGCTCTGGGAGGCAGCTCCAGGAGAAGCAGCTCCAGGAGAAGCAGCTGGAGGAGCAGCCCTGACAGGTCTCACTCATTTTCTGCACCAAATCCTCGGTGGAAGGGTGGTAGGGGGAGCACATACAGCGCTTCACCCCTAGTTTGCTGCAAACTGCTGTATTCAAATGAATTCACATGCAATTATGACAGAATGCTGAATACGAACAGGCTTATTCTTCCCTAGGCCTACTGTATTAATAAATTCAGTGCCACGGTCTGTGAGGATCCTCTAACGGGCTCTGAAACCATAAAAAAACCTCCAAAATGCAGTTAGTCACCTTTGGCCGTTTTGGTTAAAGAAGAAAGGCCTCCACCTTTCATCAGATAGAATAGTAATATAAGGTATCCTTATCAATATTTTACATTATTGATGACAATGCCACAAAAGATATTATATTGACAGTCAATTGGCCCACACTTACCCATGTCTGAATGTCCCTCTCCATTTTAGGCCAGTAATATCAATCAATGGCCCGGTGGGTTTTCTCCCAGCCTCCAGGGGTATTGCGTCATGATTGCCACATAATTCTCACATTTAAATAATTTACAACAAATAACATGTTAAAGGTTCATCCAGTGTGTGTGTGCTTCTTTTAGGGAGAAGGAACACAAATCACATTGTCAAACACTTTCCACAGCCCTGACGATGGCTCAAGTAACCACTACCTCTGCTCCTACACAGACTCGGACAGAACCAGCACCGCCTCTTTCAGGATCGCAAAGGGGTAACGACACCCCAGTCACTTCTTCTGCTTTATCCATTGCTGAGTCGCAAAAGCTCGGACTTCCCAGGGCTGAATGTGATTCGATAGATCTGTGTATACTTAGTATCCTTATTCTCAAAAACTCATTGTTCTCATTTCTATTTACATGTTTCACATTCATTATTGAAATCTTACACTAAAGGCAGTTTTCATTCTTTTCTGTTTCACTGGTTTTCAGCCGAGTGAAGCAGCTGGGATGAAAATTGTTCTTCCTCAAACTCCTTCAGGAGTTCCAGTGTCTCCGGTCTTGCTCTCAGTAAGGGAAAGATGGAGCACGAGATTGACAGACAGGTCGGTGCAGGGTTGTGGTGAAGAGGGAGCAGCGTCTGCAGTCAGAGCTGATCCCCCTCTCAATATGGGCCTGCCCTAAGTTTCCTTGTGGATGCAGGTAGGTCTAAAGCTGTGTTCAGACCGAATCATGTGTTGTGCCGAGTTTCAATGCGACTTCAATGGTGACGGCTTGTAGCGGCGCAGTAGAGACAGTGGTTCAGCGGCTAGAGGCATGCAGCGAAAGCAGGAGATGAACATCCTCACTCCACACACGTGCAGAAACCAATCAGAGAGCAGAAAAGTGGTCATGGGGACCAAACCAGAAAAAGAAGTCACTCGAAAACAACCAAAACAGAAGCAAAACCAGGATTAAACCAGGACTGAGGATGGGGGACATGGCGCTTGTGAACATGGGTCTTTAGCTTGAGTTGACGTTCGACTGTGACAGTAAACAAGTTCTGCTAACCTGTTCGCTGATACAGAAGTACCCACCACTTCCGCTCTCTGTTTTTCCCCAACGTAGGGCAGGACGTCAGATTGACTAAACTCATGCAGCTGATACTTAGCGAACGCACGTCCGCTAAGCAGACACACGTGGGCAACAGTAGCTCAGTCGGTAGAGCACTGGCCTTTGAGCCTGAAGGTCGTGGGTTCGAGCCCACCACAAGACCTTCTCCACCGGCTCCTACTGATCTCTGCTGTTGTTGTGTCCTTGGGCAAGACCAGTGGGGGCGGGTCCCGGCTCAAAAGTGGCCAAAATGACGTGCGCTGACATGCTTGCAATACCACCCCGGGCCGATACAGTCTATGGGCCAGACACTTACGACTTCCATGTTAACCAATGGGGATATTTACACTAGTTATACGCGCGTACGACAGACGTATGAAGTGAGGCTGCGCCTAATTTAGGATGGATTTCTAATTTTGTGCGCAGAAACGAGTCTCTCATTGAAAACATGTGAAACATGATTTTTCTAGCAGCCCTTTGCTTTAGACCCCATCTACACACACAGCACTTGTATCTAAACATTAGCAGGAGGACTGGCAGGTTTTACAGTGATTCTGGACATTTGTTTTCTTTCATAAAGTCTTGCGTGTGGCTCAACCAGCGCACAGAGACCATGAAGACAAACACATACATGTGATTTGTGTTGCTCTACATCAGTCCTCTGGCCCGTACTGTCCTCAACACTGCTCCATAGACTACACAGGGAGACCTGTGCGCACGGCCTGTGTAGATACACCCAAATAATGTCAACGCTTACGCGCTGTTAACCCCACATTTCCTAAAGCCCTCGCTGAAAAATCAAGGCTGTATTGTCACTGACGGGTGCAGTCATCTTCCTGTGGACTCACCACCTGCAGGAGGATCAGTAAGGGGCTGGTGCTCTGTGTACTGGGTGCAGCTCTGACTGCTAACCCCCTGACCCAGAAATGGATTATGGGGAAGACTGATGGAAGGATGGACAGTGGTCATCCCGCCCCCTATGGATCATTGGCTCCTATGTGTTTGTTATTATTGCATTTCCTGTATATGATCAGTTTGAGTTTCTGATCTGTTTCAACTTTGTAAAGTCCTCCGAAATGACTGCTGTTGTGATTTAGGCCCTGTCCACACGAAGTCAAGCTCAGGCCTAAACGCAAAAATACTTTATCAATCCAGTGTATCGTCCATACGAGGCCGGCGTTTTGGAGGGGTGTAAACGAACATTTTTGAAACTAGGTCCCAGAGTGGAAAGATTTCAAAACTCCGTATATGCCGCTCCGTGGTTACTGCCTCTCCGCAATGTATCTGAGACGCTTGCGTCATCGCCCCGCCTCTTGTTAAAGCACGCATGCGCCGCACTCCGAAAATAATGACAACAACAATGTAGCTTGTTGGTTTTGTAATCCAGTGTGACCCAAAGCAACAGTTCAACCTCATCGTCCGTCCATACTAATGTAGTACCAGCTCGCCCACTCGCCATGTTGTCTGTTTACAAAATTCCGCGCATGCCCAGTTCCCGTCACGGAAGTTTGGGCTTGATCCCGTCATAGCGTCACAGCGCCACCAACAGGTCTGGCATAGTTTCACAGCGTTTTCAGGCGTATTGACTACATTCATATGGACGCACACATTTACTGAGCTAACTCCGTGTTTACAGAAAAAGTTTCTGAAATTATAAGCGTTTTGTCTTCGTGTGGATATAGCCTTAGGGCCCTCAAAAAACTACTGCAAATACAAACATGCCAAATTCCAAAGTCTCCCGAGGGGGAGCAAAAGTAGGCGGGGGCGAGCGCAGAGCAGGCAAACGGGGGAAGCAGTGAAAGTGAAATAGAGCCAGTATCTCGATAGTGTGTAAAAGTTTATTGTCAAAGTTACTTTTGTATTATTATCACCTACAATAATGAGTGCCCACCCTCTTACTTATACGCAGAAATATAAAGGTAACATTTTGTACCCAAAAGGTACATTTTACATTTCAGGAATGTTCCTTTGAAGTACATATATGGTCCTTAAGGTGAATAACTTGAGAGGTACAGTCTCACTGGTCAGAGCAAAGAGTACAAAGCTGTACCTCTAGGAGTCAAGTGTCAGGTGAGACTTCCTCCCTGGCAACAGGAAAAGACGGCAAAATATATCGAAAGAGTGGACTGTGCAGTTTTACAACAACAACAACAACTTATACTTGTACAGCCCTTAATCACAACAGAAGTGGCCTGGCCATAGCCATCCGTGCACTCCGCTCAATCATCATTTCACTGCATGTACCGTCTGGGTCTGGTCCCTGTGTTAGCGAATACAATCGGTCGTATTTCAACCGGCTACTCAGCGAGCGTGTTGTAGGTCGGTGCCGGTGACGTCAAGAGTTTGCGCCGAACGGGCAGGTTGTAGTTTGGTAATGGCGAAGAATGAGACAGTAAAGTAATCCGGTCTGGTTCTATCAAGAAGTTGAAGCAGGAGCAAGAGGAATGTTTAGCAAATGTAATCGCTGGTCAAGATCGTGGCACTACTCCCCACGGGCTCCGTTAGCGGCAAAGGAGATGGCTAAGCTAAATGCTAAATGCTAACAACTCACTCGGGCACATTACATACGTCACGGTAAACTCAGATCCAATCGTTTCAATCTGCAAAAGGAGTTAACCCCTCCCACCTGTAAACGGAGCTCAATGGAGCAAATCCAGACCTTAGTATGAAATGAAATTTGTACTATGGTGTGGTACAACCAGGCTACAACAGAAGAAATCTCAGAGGACTTAACAAAACCATTGAAATCACCAACACAGATCAGAAAATCAACAGTTAAGACACAAAATATAAACATTTGTATTGGTCCATAGAGACCAATGTCTATGAATGTTGATAAATGTCCATACATGTTGTAGAATGTTAAAGTGTCCTGGATCATCACCACAGTCCTTCTTGTTCTGCCTAAAAGCCCCTCCTGCATGGGCAAGAAAAAACTCACAAAAACCCAGTGGGAAAAAAGTGAGAAACCGCGGGGAGTCCCACAAGTTGAGAAAGGGATCCGCTCCACACGGACGGACGGGCTAATGATCCAGGACCTAAACTAAAGAAAGAGGACCAATGCCACGCAGCAGCCGCAGAGTGTGGACTGGTCTGGTGCAGGACTGAAGCGCTCCCAGGTGGGTCGGGTGCAAAGTGAGTATCAGAAGATGAAACTTGATATGGCCGCTGTCAAAGACCGCATGACACGAACACTCTCCTGGAGACAACGTGATTATGGAAGGCATGCCAATAGAGGAAGTGCTCTCCAAATATCCCTTCTTAAAGATGCCTGCTATAGTACGTGTATAAACGATTGTTTAAAAACATCAAATCTGTAACACATCTTTGTTGTTACATCTTTGTGTAAAAGGTATTACATTTATTTTCTGAAAAATAAATATATAATTGAATTTAATGTCACGATCCGGTCTAGTCCACTCCACTCCACATTTTCCCCTCTCCCGGTCCTCCTCCCTCTGCCACTCACTCACCTGGATCTCAGCAGGTCATCACTGCAGTACAAGAAGAGCAGCTCTGCACCATGGATCTATTATAATAACTGGATAGGGTATTACTAGCTTGTAGCTGAATAACTCATGTGCTCAGGGGATTCTCGCGGTACTGCAGACTGAACCAGACTAAATTCACGTGGGCTACCCAGAAATTTTCCCCATAGAACTCAATGCATATTAAAACAGCTCAACCTCAGCTGAAAGAGAACCTACAGCTTTCATAAAGGTCGGATTTTGTGGGGATTTTAGTGTCCCTTGTCATCCTGAACTTTTTTTCTTCTTAAATCCTTCGGTTTTGTTTAAATCCACACTTTAGTGCCACAAACTCTGCTCGTCTGGCTCTCGCTCTAACTCCCGCTCTGATGAACTGCTCTGATTGGTCAGAGCGCGGCCGTGCCCCTCTGTGCACGTGTGTGAGACCCGGTGTGAGACCCACACACGCGTGTTTGGCGCAACGCATTATGGGAGATCATCCACTGCGCAGAACCGGGAGGACCAGAAGATGAATAGGGCGCCATCTTGGATCGCCGGGGCTTGCTCTGCACACACTCTTCATCCAGTTTGTTTGTCTACTTACACGTCAGCCTGTTATTCCTGTCTGTCTTTTGAATATATTTTTTGGAATAAAATTTGTTTCTGTATCTTGAGTCCTTTTCTTCAATTGTTTGTTTTTGCCTAAGGAAAATATTCTTTCAGTTGTACCTCAGTGGGGATAAAATGTAACCTTTTATATGGGTACAGTTTTGTACCTGTACATAAAGGTACATATTTGGCGCTTGAGGTCCAGTAAAGTACTTTTATAGTTACATAAATGATCCTATGTTGAGAGGTACAACTTTGTTCTTCTCTAGGGTACTGTGGGGGTGACAACCCCATTGTACCCTTTTAGGGCCCTTCCTGTCCCTCCATTTCTTAGTGTGTGCTGAATGCTCTGCCTCCAACTGCAGTTTTTGACACTTTACACACCTATTTTACTAGAATAGGTTGAGGAACTTTGGTTCACAGGAACAAACTGATACTGATCCGATTAAAACAGTGGAATGTTGTGGGTTATTGGTTGGTATCGTTTTTTTTTAAGAGTTTTTCCTTGCCGATGCAGGAGGGTCTGTTGGGCAGTTAGTGTCCAACTAGGACTGTGGTGATGATCCAGGACACTTTAACGTTCTATAACATGTATGACATTTATCAACATGTGTTCTATATTCTTTTTGTGTTTTAACTGTTGATTCTCTGATCTGTGTTGGTGATTTCAATGGTTTGTTAAGTCCTCTGAGATGATACTGTTGTGATTTAGGGCCATACAAGAATAAATTGTATTGTATTGTATTGTTGTGTCAAATGAAGCAGAAACAACACTGACCATTATCAGCAGCTAGAAGTTGGTCATTTGTGACTTTGACGAGTGCTGTTTCACTGTTCTGAATCCGGATTTCAAATGTATTAATTTTCTGTAGGTAGCGCCATAGTTTAGCAATAATCGAAAGTCCTTTTTCAAGGACTCTATATAATTTAAGACAAGGTCTGTCATTAAGAGGAGAATGTCTTTGAAGAGCCGAGCTGGTATCGGGTATAAAATGCAAGTCTTCTGGTCAAATCGGTAACATCAGAGGCTTTCTACCATGTAAAAATTGCCAGGATTAAAAAAAAAGTTTGCTAAAGCAGACCTGGAGATTCTTTTCCATGCTTCTGTCTCATGTAGGTTAGACTACTATAACAATCTGCTCACTGGGCTCTCCAAACGAGCTGTGAGGTTGAGTCCTGTCTAGACCCAGGAGGTTTGATCATATCCGTCCAGTTCTCAGGTCTTTTTCCTCATTCTTGTAGTTTGGGAAACTTTTTCTCCGCTCCCTGTGGGCAATCTCCAAGTGAGAGTGGTGACATTGCTGCTCAAGCTTTCTAACCTTCTGCTTTAGCGAAGGCAGTTTGATATTAGACCACGCTGACGCTGGTCTAATCCTGTTTTCTGTTGAACCAAACTTCAAGTCAATCATTTGAATATGACATTCTGAACGGTTCAGTTAGCAGCTGTGATAACGCGTGGCTGTGTGTATGGCAGAAGTGTGTCCGTCACCTACGCCACACAGCTTTACACGTTCCCCCTGGAGGTGGCTCTGTTCTTGGACTCTGAATTCTTCAGCCCTGCTAGCATCTCCATTGAGCTGCAGTTGCGCACATAGGTGTGGACCCGTCTGCAGGCTGTGGGGCTGAGTGTCGTTAAACTGCTGGACCACATCTGATCCGGATCCCTCTGGAGCCAACAAATTCAACCTCATCATCGCCCAGTGAGACACGCAAAAGGCTGCTTACATTCAACGTGTCGTCAGGCTAGAAATCATTGCAGTCAGGTAATTAATCATTATTTGATAATGATAATAATAATAATACATTTTATTTAAAAGCGCCTTTCAAAACACAAGGACACTGTACAGGACGTAATAAAAACATTAAAAACAGGAGCAACGGAAAAAAACAGTAGTGCAATTTGAGATGGTGGGTGCGTGTGTGTTAGGTGGGGTAGGACCATGGGGTAGGACAGTCTGAACAGATGGGTTTTGAGTCTGGATTTGAAGAGAGGAAGAGAGTCAATGGTACAGATGTCAGGGGGGAGAGGGTTCCAGAGCTGGGGGGTGGAGTGGCTGAAGGCTCTGTGTCCCACGATGATGAGTCTGGCTGGGGGGACGGAGAACGTGAGAGCGGAGGAGGAGCAGAGTGTGCACTTAGCACAGTTCATTTCTAAACTTATAAATATATGTATATAATATAATATACCTTATATTCAGATCCTCTCCAGGTTTTTTCTACTGTATCAGTTATATGTATATATTTAATATGTATTCTTTATATTTTTTGACTGCATTTTATGAACCTAGTGGTTCATGTGTTTTATTGTGAAATGCTCTGTGGATGTGGTGACTGTACACCCTTGGGTGCCTGCCCCACCCTATTTAAGATGACTTCCTTTTGTTCTTCTCATATTTGCTTGATGAAGGCATAACGCCGAAACGTTGCACTTCTAATACATTATTTTTAATTTGCAAGTGAATCTTTCTCTGTACCACATCAGGCAATACAGGCATCTCCTACACATCCGATCTGTAGGTATTGATGTGCGAATCTGTACTCCATTAATTTACTTCACATAGAAATATATAAATAATATATATTTTTTAAAATCTTTTCCTTTGCATTTGTTGTCTTATGTTTTTGAATATTTGCATTCTGACCATTTGAATTCTAAAGGAAAAAACTCAAAACATGAAGTGTAGGCAAGGCAAGTTTATCTGTATTGACCCCTTGCATGTGACGTCCCGGCCACGCCCACTCTCCATGACAGACGGCAGAAGTCTAACTGGAGCCTACGGACACCTGACCAAAACAACCTGTTTCAGCGCATTACAGCCAAAACTGTGACATTTTGCAGTGCGGTTGATTATACTAACAGGCAAGGACATAAGCTTTTTTATCTGATACCTGCTCGTCATGAAGACAGAAGACGACGATGGCCAGCGGCAATAAACCAAAAGGACTGGGACGCGTCTAAACACTTTTTACAAGATAAAGCAATCACAAGTTTGTATTTATTTTATTTCCATTAATTTGGAGGACAATGACACACGTCAAACGTGTCTCTTACTACTGTCCTGTATGTGCGCTGCAACATTGACATTTTTATCTTTTAAGTCAATTGCGTGTTTCACTATTTTCCTCTCCGTCAGTACATATCATGTTTGGCTGTAGACAGAAAAGCCACAGAAAAGTGGACTATTGCTAATGCTACCAGCGAAATGTACATATAAATCTGCTCCAGTGTGAGGGTATGCATTGTTAACGATAATGATTAAGATCATGTAGGGTGAATTCGGGCAAAAATAGACATTTTATTTAAATCGATAAAATTGACTGGGGGGAGAAGGTACGGGTCAACATCCAGTTAGGCAATCCTCAACTTCTCCAAATACCACTCTTTGTGAGCCCTGACCTGATGTCCTGCTTCCACCTATAACGTAATCGAACATGTGCTTGAAGCAGCCACTTCTCGATTTAGGAGAGGAAGCTCCGTTCTTAAGAGTTGTCGTCCGTTTTGCTCTCGCAGCAATGCTAGTTTCCAATACTTCCGCCGTAAGCTCATTCACAATCACGTGACTGGATGACGTTGATGCATCTGGTCAATAGCACAATTCATACACAAGGCAACTCAAAGTGCTGAACAAAATAGCAATAAAATCATAAATAATCACAGAACATTAAAAAAGGAAAGATAAAAATATAAAATCCCTCAGTTGTATGCACAGCTAAACAGAACTGTTTTTAACCTTGTCTTAAACATTGTCATTGAGGAGGCCTGTCTCACATCTTCAGGAAGACTGTTCCAGATTTTAGCAGCATGAATCTGAAAAGCAGCCTCCCCATGTTTAGTTCTGACTCTGGGCACTAACAGGAGTCCAGTCCCTGTGCTCCTCAGAGTCCGGGCTGGTTCGTATGGGACTAACATGTCACTAATATATTTTGGTGCGAGGCCATGGAGAGACTTGTACACAAGCAGAGCTGTTTTAAAGTCTATTCTCTGAGCCACAGGAAGCCAGTGCAGAGACCTGAGGACCGGACTAATATGGTCGTACTTCCTGGTTCTAGTCAGGACTCGAGCTGCTGCATTTTGAATGTACTGCAGCTGTTTTACAGCCTGTTTGGACAGACCTGTGAGCAGGCCATTGCAGTAGTCTAACCTACTGGAGACAAATGCATGGATAAGAATCTCCAAGTCTGCTTTAGACACTATGTTTTTGATCCTGGCAAAGTTTTTTAGGTGGTAAAAAGCTGCTGATGTTACTGATTTGATGTGGCTATTAAAATTTAAGTCTGATTCCAGTATTACCCCTAGATTTCTGACCTTGTTTGAAGGTTTAAGGGAGAGAGACTGTAGGTGACAGATGACGCTCTCTCTTTGTTTTTGGGGACCAAAAACAATCATTTCAGTTTTTTCTGCGTTTAGCTGAAAGAAGTTGTTTTGCATCCACTCACTGATCTGTTGGATACAGTGAAGGAGTGAGTCCACTGGTCCATGTTCTCCTGCAGTCAATGAGACATAGACACTTTGTTTCTGTGTATTAACTGACCTAACGGCAGCATGTAGAGATTGAACAGAAGAGGTCCCAGGATCGACCCCTGTGGTACTCCACAGGTCAGGGCCATATGATCTGAGACACAGTTTCCAATCTCCACAAAGTACTTCCTGTCTTCAAGGTAAGACCTTAACCAACTTAGGGCGGTGCCAGCGACGCCAACCCAGTCCTCTAGTCTCTGTAAGAGGATCTCATGGTCGACGGTGTCAAAGGCCGCACTCAGATCTAACAGGATTAGGATTGAGACTTTGCCTGCGTAAGTGTTCAGCCGGATATCGTTTGTAACCTTGACGAGAGCAGTCTCAGTGCTGTGGTGGGGTCTAAAGCCGGACTGAAACATATCAAATGAGTTGTTGATTATAAGAAATCTAGTAAGCTGTAGGTAGACAACTTTTTCAAGGACTTTCCCCATAAATGGCAGATTTGAGATGGGACGATAGTTTTTAAGTTACGTGGCATCCAGACTGCTCTTTTTTTAGCAGGGGCCTGATGACTGCAGTATAGACCAAATTAGTTGTACTTATTTCTATGTATTTTTCTAACACAAACGAGTACGACATTTCTATTTAGTTTGTAGTTTCAATTGAGCCACAAAATGTAAAGAGTTGTAACATGACAAGATTTGTTTTAAAGGAGCAAGACCCAATTTTGGCTGTTGTATAAAAATATCTAAATGTATGACTTTTGTAACTTCGACATTTTATTTAAATTATGGATCAGGACTAACATCTGTTATGACTGATTGTTGGAATAATTATCGTCATCATTATTAATTTCCATTACTTTCAATGAGATTTCTGTTTCACCATCAGACAAGATGTCTGCCAAAATCACCACGGTAACCAAACTCACATTCCATCGTCATGGCAACCACCTATATGATGTCATAAAGCTCAGGGCTAGATTTTTGTGTGTGTGTCTGTGTCAGTGTCAGTCCGTATCATACTACAAGATAAGACAAAGATCCGAGAAGAACAAATAGAAGAAAATAACTGTTGGAGGCAGAGGAGAAAAGTGGAAGAGACTCATCAGGAACAGAAAGCAGCAGAATCAGTAGGAGATGGAGTCCCTGAAAGCAGCGTATGAGAAGTCTGCAGAAGAGGCCGGAATCTATCGGTCAATCATCACGGCGCTCCAAGACCAGAAGCAGCTCATGAACCACAAGTTTCAGTCTGTGAAGAAGGTTGCAGCTGCTTTAGAAAAGGGCTATGAAGAGCAAAGCAGACAGAAGGACGCAGTGATCAAAGACCTGCGGAGAGAGCTGGCAGAGGTAAAGGTAGAGAACCAGGAGAACCAGCAGACCATAAACCTCCAGGAGAAAGAGCTGGCAAAGGTAAAGGCGGAGAACCAGGAGACTATAGACCTCCAGGAGATAGAGCTCGCATTGGTGAGGGCTGAGAGACTGGACACCATTGAGCGCCTGGAGAGAGAAATGGCACAAGTGAAGGCCGAAAACCAGGAAACCACAAACCTCCTGCAGAGAGAGCTAGCACAGGTGAAGGTGGACAACCAGGAGACTATAGACCTCCAGGAGAAAGAGCTCGCACTGGTGAGGGCTGAGAGACTGGACACCATGGATCTCCTGAAGAGAGAAATGGCCCAAGTGAAGGCCGAAAAACAGGAGACCACAGACCACCTACAGAGAGAGCTGGAAAAACTGAAGGCGGAGAACCAGGAGAAGCAAGAGACTATAGACCTCCAGGAAATGGAGCTCTCACTGGTGAGGGCTGAGAGACTGGACACCATCGACCTCCTGGAGAGAGAAATGGCACAAGTAAAGGCCGAAAACCAGGAGACCACAAACCACCTGCAGAGAGAGTTGGAACAAGTGAAGGCGGAGAACCAGGAGAATATAGACCTCCAGGAAAAAGAGCTCACACTGGTGAGGGCTGAGAGACTGTACACAATTGAGCGCCTGGAGAGAGAAATGGCCCAAGTGAAGGCCGAAAAACAGGAGACCACAGACCACCTACAGAGAGACCTGGAAAAACTGAAGGCGGAGAACCAGGAGAAGCAAGAGACTATAGACCTCCAGGAAATGGAGCTCTCACTGGTGAGGGCTGAGAGACTGGACACCATCGACCTCCTGGAGAGAGAAATGGCACAAGTAAAGGCCGAAAACCAGGAGACCACAGACCACCTGCAGAGAGAGTTGG